TCTCCTTGCTAAGTCTCTCTGTTTCTTTCCAAATTCTCTCACTAGGCCTAAGATTGCTTGCCTGAAAGTGAGGTTATTCAGCAACCTTGTTCAATTCCTCCATGTCTGCCTTGCTAGCCTGAGAAACACACACTACCTGTACCATGAGCACACTTGTTGTCCACAACAGTGAACTTCAATTTGGTTTTGCAAAATAATGCAAAATCAAACAAAACACCTGCAAAACCAAACAACACTAAGGGGAGAACAAAAGACAGGAAACAAATATTGGTTAGCTTTGCATCGATAAGTGTATGTTAACTAATTGCTAAAGAAGATGGTATTAGTGCTGTGATACTAGTAAGAAGCTGAAACATGGAGCAGACATTGTTTATGCTTTCTGTCTTTGAAAGCTGAGCTCAAATTCTGAAAAAATGGGGTAATGTCAGATTTTTATGAGTGCATTTTCATGAAAAGAATTACCTTTATGTTCTCACTTAAATTTATATTTCTTCATGATTTCTTCTCGTTCCACTCATTAACATACTCACATCTTGCAAAACAGCATGATCCACACAGATTCTCATGTAATTCGCAGATTTACTCATCAACACTAGAACCACTACTATGAAATACACCTTTTTTCCTTTTAAACTTTTTTTCCCATGTACAGAAACTGTTTGAGGCAATATCACAGGCATCTCTGTCACATCAAAATAGATCCAGAATTTAAAGTGAAAGTTAATGGCAATCAATATGTAGCCTAACTCATTTGACAAAGTAGCAGTTAATTTGTTTCCATGAGCTCAGAAATTGCATTTACTAGAGAGGATCCAAAGTCTAGTACTAATTAGCACTAGTGAAATAGCAGCAGGTCTCCAGAATTAAACAGTTGGTGCTGAGGACCTGAAACATATTTTTTTGGGGGGAAAAAGCATTATTTCAGACTAGATCTTTCCTCGTTCTGAAGACTGAACACCCTCCCATCATCAGTTGTGTATCTTCCTACTTTGTTTTGGATGAAAGTAGTAAAGTCTGAATCCCTGGAGACTGCTCAATAATGGAAACATACAATCCTAAGTGGCACTTGGCAGATTTGCTTCAAAGTTATATTTCTGATCCAAGCAAAAACAATGCAGATGTATCCAAATAAAAATTATATTCCTTATTTCCTTGATGATTCTCTTTTCTATCAGACAAAATGAAGCATAGCCACAACTTAATACAGATTTCTAAAATGTAAAAAATGTACTTTTTTTTTTTTTTTACATGAAGTTAAAGATGTATTCAATGTATTTTAACTTTCTAACAACTAAAATTGCATTTCTACTAATAAAGTCCTTGGGTATATATTGAGCTTACTCAGGGACTTTATGTACCAGTCATTCCATCAATAATAAATTGAAGAATATAACGTGACTTTTTAAAAAACTGTTCTAAATAAATATGAGACTTTTCCATTAAAGAAATCAGTTGCAGATATCTTTTTAATGGCTTTAGTTTTTCTAATTTAAATTCTGTTATTAGAGTATCATTAAAATGCCAAGCAGGCAGATTTGGTCTACATGAAATGGGACATGGGATAGGCCTTTTTTGACACAATTAAGACTGTTCCTTTCAAGGGCAACATCACAAAAAGTGAACACTAATTTTACTAATATGGTAAAGGAGGATGAATGACTGCGGAAAGGAAGGAAAGCAAAACCAAATTACGTAGCTTTTTTTTTTTTTTTTTTTTTTTTTCTGTTCTCTGTCATATTTGACTTTCCCTTTCTACAAACCTTACTACAGGGACAGGAATTTGCATAAAAAGATTAAAGATTGCATGAAATGTCAGAGACTGCTTTGCAGCTACAATACAAATAAAGAAAGTCTTTGCAGATGCGAAACGAATTCTAAGGAAATGACCAAAGATATTCTGATAATAGCACATGATGCATAAAATACACCCAACACTACATGTCAGAGTACATATGCTATTTCTGAAAATAACTTACTACATCTCCACTTCTCTACATGAAAGCCACAGCTACATGCAAATATAAAAGGAAAGCTCACAACACTATTTTTCTTAGTTCTGAAAAAAAATTATCCAGTGACTACTTTTGATTAGATAGGAGAACTAAAATCATCATAAAATCATAGCTCAAACTGAAAGGTACTCCAAAACTATTTCAGTATTTTTTGAAACACCTGCTCTAAAGCAGTAATTTGCATCATCTAGCTAACACACTTTTCAATACTGTCTTATTTGGTTCAAATTGCTGGTCATGAAGCACTATCTACACTACACACAAGCACTAACTACACTACACATTCTGTTTAGTTCACACAAAGTGTAAGTAGCGATCAGATCCTCAGATCATAGTTCATAAATTCTTGAAAATCTACATACAATATATGTAATATATATATATTTTTAAAACCTATGCAATAAAGTTTCCTGTAACCCAATACTCTTCTTAGACAGTCAGTATTACCATGGATGTCCTTTCCATTACTTCATGTAACCTCTCAGAATGAAAGTCGAAAAGTTCATCAACCATAAAGGAAATACTCTTGAATATTAAGACTGATGCACACCAGCAAAAAGTCAGCCATATGATGAAATAAATGGAGCCTGGGTAACTGGATTTTATGGATAGATGCTAATTACTTGCAACACTTTGGGATACCTTGGTAGTCAAAGTACTTTTGCACTGTAGCACAAATTAGCTACCAACTGGTCATCAAACTAGCATGATCCTGGAGGAAATACTAGTATTTCCAACAATTTTAATTAATGCTAAGCCTACCTCAAGTCAACAAGTCCAGAGAGGAGTAGGCCCACTTTATTTTCCCCCTGAAAATAAGGAAACCAAAAAACTGACTTTGCAGCCAGTGACAGTAGAAAAGCTAAGTCTGTCTTTAAAATTGTCCTCCAGTATTTTGTAAGGAGGTTATGATACATTTGAATGTAGTGGTAGTGGTATGGATTCAAGTCCTGGAAAGACTCACCACACAATCATACATACCTACATCAAGGGATTTAGAGTATCCCTATGTGCATTTACACCTCAAAGACCATGAGAAGAAGTATAGTAATGGAGAAGTGATCAGGAAGGTCATTTGGGACTGTATTTCTTCCACAGTATAGGTACCAGAAAAATTATTTAACTATACACAGTCACACAAAACTATGAATTAATTAAAAATCTTTATATAAAAAAAGCAAAATGAAACAGAAATGTCAGGAATACGGAGCTCCCTGTCTTTCAAGTAAACAGCAGAAAATTAAGAGAATGTTTTCCAGATTATGTTTTCCTGTTTAACCTTACAGAGAATATCTAAGAGTAAGTCCTGTTATCGTTTAGTATGTAGTAATATACTGCACTATGGTTTTACATTTACTAAAACAGTGCTGCTCTTCACAGTATGTACATTACACAAGGGCAGAAAGAGCATTAATCATTTAAAACTGATATTGTATTGTAAAAGACAAAAATTTGTAAAAATATATAAAAAGATTCCATTCTGAGTTTGTGTATTGGTTTAGGCCCTGCCAGGACAGGAGACCATATTGCCATTGTCCCTCCCCCACCCTTGGACACAAGTAGGGCACAAACCCCGGGTTAAAATAAGAAGAAATTTAATACAACAGTATAATAAGCAATCTGAACAACGACAGTAGCAATGATAACAACAATAAACAGTAATAACAGTAAACTAGACAAAAGATATACAGAGAAATACCGCAATGGATACAGACAGCCCCCGTGCTTCCCACGACCAAAGCCACAAAGGAAAGTTGCCACCGGGATCTGACATCAGCATGGTATGAATAACCTGGCTGGAGATCCCTTCCCCCTCTCTGCTAGGGAAACTTAACCCTATCCTAGCTGAACCAGGACAGTTTGACAGTTCTGTATTTTTAGCTTAAACAATTTACATCAAAATACATTTATTCATACATCAAAAATAATTTTCTATACTTTCTTGTATATTCTACAATGAATGTAAGCAGCATTTTATATTCAATAAAGTGTTAATTTGGTAATCAGCACAACATTAACCTAAAATGTGAATTTACAAAGCCTTATTCTTCAAATTTTAAAATTAAATAAAATAGGTAAGCACAGATAAATGCAAACAAATCACATTAATTTTTGAAAAATGAAATATGCTTTAATTTCTTACAATTATTAGTGGAAAAGAACTAAGACCTTAGAGTAGGAAACTAGCTCTGAAATAACACTGTTATGCTTCCTGAAGTTTTGTAGAACACAGCAGGTGCTTTACAAGCTTGAAACTAGTCTTTTCTTAAAAAATCAAGAACAAATGGCTTATAGCTAAAATGAATGATTTAAATGGAAAAGATTTGTCTTCTGAATTAATTATCAACTAAGTAGACATGAACTGCAGTACTACTGGAAGAAGCCAAGGATATTCTTAAGCTTTCTAAGCAGTGATATACTTTAATATATCCATCCCTTTTGCTTCCCTCCAGAAAGACTTTCTGCAATAGCTTACTGATTAAAAGGGTAATTTTTATTTCAGTTTTTAATGATTCTGGAATGACAGTAACATTTACCATGTCTGTATAACTTATTGCTGAGATATAAAATAGAGACAAAATGGAGTTGTCATAATTTTTCCAGATTTCATGAGAACTTTACCACTTGAGAACACCATTTTATCAAAAAAATTTCTTCATTACAACTTTATGAGCTGTGAACTACTACTTTCAATTACTTAGTAGTGAAATCCAAATGGAAAACCAAAAAGAAAAATAGGATATTCTGTGAGATGATGAATGCCATTCTTTCAAAATAGTAAATATTTATTATAAGAATCAGGATGGGAGTGTTATTTTAAAGGATTGTGTTGCACAGAGCAAAGAAGGTTGAAAAAGCTCAGAAAAAAAGAGTGACAAAATGAGCAAGAATAAAAATTCTTCAGAGAAGCTGCATGCAAATATATTATAAATAACAGTACGCCCCCCCTCCAATTCTTCTCAAGAGTTCTTGGAATGTATGCATTACCTTAACAACAGGATTCAGGAGAACAACACCTGATTTCTTTGTAATAACTTGCTTTGTTGTGTAATGATGTTCTATGAGCTGAGGAATAGTTGGAAACCCAGTTCCTTCAAAACGATACTGATTCTGTATGGAGGTAAAAGGAAATAATTGTTCCTCTACAAGCAGTATTTTGAAAAAGAAACTATAAAAATGCATCACTTCCCTCACTAGTAACAAAATAACGTTAACTTTTATAGCATTAGATTTTTCCTAATCTTTTTAATAACATTTCTATTGAATTAAATGGAATGATAGTTAGGAAGAGGATAAACTCATAAATGCAAAATTTAATAAATGCAAAATCACTCACTTAAGGCAACATGTTAAAATAGCCATTTATTTAAACTCTTAATTTAAAGATAGGACAGTTAAACCAAAAACTCTGATAGAGTGCATTAAAAATATTCTAAACCAGAAAAAAACCCCACTAACTTAATTAAAGTAATAAGAATTACAGAAAACCAACTAAAAAATAAACATCTGACAATAAAATAACCAACAGATAAGTAACACTATCTTACTCATATCCTACTGCATTTACAACGTTTGATAAATTAATAAATCCCTGTCACAGAGCTAAAAACAAAGGCAGGTTATGCCTATGATTCATAGAGAAGTTGGGCGAGACAAAATTCCTTCTCTCCCTACTTCATGAATTTATTTCCTTTTATATAGATAATTGAACACAATGGAAACAAATAAATCTCCTAATATTTTCTCAGACGCATGTAACATTTTCTTAGCAATGACTGCTATGACATATAATTCTTTCAGATGTTAAGGGGAAAAAAAATGTATTTTTATTGCTTATCTTTGACCACACACTTGACAGGGGAAACAATATAAAAAAACATTTATTTCATCTTTCTGAATGTCTTAAATTATATAATACACCTGATTGGGACACAGGATAAAGTCTTGTGCCTATACAAGACTCACATCCACATTTAGAGAACTCTTCCCACAAGAGAGGAACTGCCATAAGCCAGCCTGACAATGGCAACAATAAACAAGTACTGCAATTAAAAAAAATCAAAGCACAGACTAATTCAAGTTCATTTACACAACTGGGCAATGAAAACCCTTACCACTGGCATGCAGACTTTTTTTCTTTCTAGCCCCTAGGGTTAAATTCCTTGCATAATGCACTGTAAGTTTCTCTTACTTAGAGGTTAAAGCATTAACTTCATGGAACATGTTATCATTGTTAGTAAAGCTTGATCACGTCACCAATTTTTAACATTCCCCATTCTCTACCATAAAAGTGTTGTCATAGTCTGAAAATTTTCTGTTATTTTGTTGCGAACTTCATTCACTTATTAAGTACTGATTCAACTTTGACAGACCAGTAACACTAGTTCCCATTCCTTTCAAATAAACTCCTTCATATTTCTGTGCTGAGGATCAAAAAACCCTGATGTCCTAAGAGTCTCCCTAGCACAATACCTAGTACTGCCTATTATTTCCTCAGCCCACACCCAGCCACATGCCCATCTGCTGCTATTTATATAAGACATTCAGGGTAGACTGTGTTCTTTGACTCCATGCATTTACACTGGATCCTGACTACTATTAAGATCATCATTTTGGCACTGTCCTGCATGAAATCCTTATCTCTCAATTGGGGAGACATGAATTTGATGGATGCTCACTCAATGGATAAGGAATTGGCTCAATGGTCCCACTTGATGTGGCCAACAGCTTGGTGTCCAATTGCAGAGAAGTGACAGCGGTGTTCCTCAGGGGGTCGGTGTTGGGACCACTGCCATTTAACATCTTTGTTGGAAACATGGACAGTGGGATTGAGTTCATCTTCAGCCAGTTTGCCAATAACACCAAGTGGTGTTGGGTGGTCCATATGCTGGAGGGAAGGGATGCTACCCAGAGGGACCCTGACAGGCTTGAGAGCTGGGCCCATGCAAACCTTGTGAAGTTCATCAAGGCCAAGTGTAACGTCCTGTACATGGGTCAGGGAAATCCCAGGCACAAATACAGGCTGGGTGATGAGTGGATTGAGAGCAGCCCTGTGGAGAACTTGGCAGTATTAGCAGATAGAAAACTATGAGCCAGCAATGTGTGCTCACAGCCTAGAAAGCCAACTGTATCCTGGGCTGCTTCAAAAGAAACATGGCCAGCAGGTCAAGAGAGGTGATTCTTCCTCTCTACCCACTCTTGTGAGAACCCACCTGGAGTACCGTATCCAGCTCTGAGGCCCATCAAATAAGAAGGACATATATGTGCTCGAGCAGGTCCAGAGGTGGGCACAAAGATCATCAGGGGGCTGGAGCACCTGCCTTATGAGGACAGACTGAGAGAGGTGGGGTTGTTCAGCCTGGAGAAGGCTCAGGAAGACCTTCTAGGAGCCTTCCAGTACTTAAAGGGGGCCTACAGGAAAGATGGGGAGGGACTCTATCAGGCAGTGTAGTGATAAGACGAGGGGTAACTGTTTTAAACTAAAAGAGGATACATTTAGATTAGATATAAGGAAAAAATTCTTCATTATGAGGTGGTGAGACACTGGCACAGGTTGCCCAGAGGACCTATGGATGCCCCCTCCCTGGAAGTGTTCAAGGCCAGGTTGGACGGGGCTTTGAACAACCTGATCTAGCAGAAAGTATCCCTGCCCATGGCAGGGGGGTGGAACTAGATGATCTTTAAGGTCCCTTCCAATTCAAACTGCTCTATGATTCTATGATCACTAACAAAAATATGAAAATAGCAGAGCATCAAATAAGTAGCAGGGAAAATCAACAGTAGCCTTGACTGGCAGCAATGAATTTTGGTGCTTAAAGCTTAACAATGAACTTGTTTATCACAAACATAGTTTTATTAAGATTAGCCTTTAAAATAATGGTAAAACTAGAGAGAGAATATTTATGCAGTTATAGGACCCCTGTTAAAACAGGTTTATGTCCCACTCCGCTCTTCAGTATTTGATTCAGAAGAAAGTTTGTATATGAACATCAAGCTTGGTCTCCATATGGGGACCTGTCAGTGATCCAAGAGTGTGACCTGACCAGTCATGAAGACCGGATTACACATTGTTCATACCAATGTAAACAAATACCCTGCACTAAACTCTCCTCAAACTTCCTTACCAAAATGTTCGTTATAACAATCCCTCTTGCAATATGACCATAACAGTCCCACCATCAACTAACTCCTTTCTAGAGCTTAATAAGCTTTTTCTTTTTACAATCAATGCTTTTTACACAATAAATGCTGAAAAATCATTCCATAGGAGTACATAAGGAGTCATGCACTTCTTTAAGAAAAAAAGTTTTAGCTTCCATCATTGTCAGGAAAATCTGCCACAAATGAATCCCAAGAGTAGATGAACATAATGTCCTATAATTAAATGTACAAGCAGACAGTTCTAGTGACTTGATGATGTTTGGACCGTCCAAGCTATGCAATATTAAACAATATCCGTCTTACATTTCAAATGTAATTTCTAAAAGGAAGTAGTGATATTACGGAAATAAAGATAGCTCTTAAAAAATACAAAAGAAGAGTCAACACTAAAAGTAAAACTTACAAAAAACCCCCTCTATTTTAACTGACTTGAAAGTGCAAACCATATTTTTTGAAGATCTACTTGTCACATACAATGATTTACACAAAATTATTTCAGCCACACCAAGTATACGATATGCATTTATTTCTGCTGTTTCAGGATCAGAGAGCTCCCAGCATCTTGTAAGATTCTATCTGTCTAAGTACAGGTAATCTTATTGCTCTTATATTCTCATTCAGCACTCTGACACTTCAAAATACTTTAAGGTCATAAAATCAAAATAAAATAAACACTGACTTTACGTAAAAACACTTCTACAAGGAAAATTCTAGGTGAAAATTAATGAAAACTCCAACTGGACAAGTGTCCATAGTCACTGATCCTACAAGAGCCCTCCATCTTCTCTGAATTTACCACTCTGAAAAATACCGCTTCATCTCATTAAAAAGAAAGAAACCAGGTACACAATACTGATTTCCCCCAGGCATGCTGCATCAGCAGGAGATTTAGACACAGAAATTCCCTCAGGGTAAACAACATTATGCGATTAAATTTGTGTACTTTTCTGTATGTGGAAAATTTTATTACAAGGGACTGAAACACATTTTGGCAGCATTACTGAATTAAAACTGAAAATGATTTGCTGTTACGCCATACTTCAATAAGAATTTCTAGTAAAACTGTTGTATTTTGAATGAGTTTGAGATTTGGAAAGGTAAAAAAATATACATTAAAAAAACAAGTAATGCATTGAGAAGAATGCAAATAAATACATTGGATAAAGGCATATAAAAATTAACATACTCTTTAAAATGATCAATTTTTCCTAACTTAGAACAACAAGGGGATGAATCATTTATGCTGTGCAACACCCACAACCATTTGTGTTATACTGAATAAAACAATACCCATAGGGCTAAAAATAACATAAGCATATCTAGTGCAGCAGCGACTTCAGTTCCCAACTGTACAAAAGCCAACATAGATTATTTTCTCCTCCATTAATGTTTCTATTTTTCGAAAAGATTCAATGGATTCTTTACAGTTTGATTTAAAAGTAGCCTAATTAGCACCAGCTATGAAAATGGAATTAAAAATAAATAAATGTATATGAATAAATTAGTAGTAACAAGTTCTGGACTTCAAAACATTTACAGAAATATCTTGGCTTTTCAATGTAAGATAAAAGACACTGAATAACCTCATACTTTGTATTTTCTCTTTGTTTCCCAAAATGACCTTTTCCCCTGATATCAGCACTGATAAGTATTTCCAGCAGTTTCATATTTTCATATAAAGCCATTTGCCATCATAAATTATGTAGATCCTAATTTTTTTAGCTGAAATCATAAACTTCCTAACATCAAACATTCAGTACTATATCAGTGACGTACATCAGCATACTGTATGATAAAGTGTCTCCGTTGTCCATCTGAAAACACAGAAAGGACATATTCACCAGGTTTCCCGTGGCTCTCTCGCACCAAGAAGTCTCCTTGCTGTTTTAACAGCTCCTGGGCTTCTATTCTTGGAATTGCGCCATGATACCATTCTTGATCAGCCAATGGTTTCTCAGTGGTTGAAATCACATCAAAGAACTTGGGAAAAATATTGAAGGAAAATGTTACTATAACAGTACATTTTACACTTCACTTTTACATGAAAAGCACGCTAACACTTTCTATTTCTGTATCTAAATTACATATTTCTATTAATAAACAAAATCAAACTCTCACATTTACACAAAAGGAATATTGATCACCTTTTTTTCTATTGCCTAAAAAATTAATATATAAAAAGCAGATGTTTATGGAAATGTCCATAAAAACATGTTATATTTTTCACTTGGCCTGCTCTTTTTCCTAAGCCATATCAACCAACTCTTTCTTACACATGCTATTAGTAACAGTACAAAATGAACCACTTCTTTATTCAGACAGAAACTTCTTAGACATAAAAACGTAAGAAAGTGATTTATGTGAAGCATGTGAATTGGATAAACTGTTTTCACAGAATGTACCAATTGCATTCCAAATTAATTAATAGCTCTATGAGACATCTGTGCTAGCCATTTACACTGTAGAACAGAATATACACTTGGGTATATTGAATGAACTTTAGCATAGAATTTCTGAAAGCACAAAGATTCTAAGAAAATATTTTCACTGACAATAAATGAAAGTTAATGAGTTTTAACCTACAATTTCACATATTAATTTTGACAAGCTTATATTGTTTAAGAAAACACTGAGGAAAACTTATATTTTGTTCAATGACCACTTCAGATTTGTTTGTTATGGCTAGAGAGTGCCAGAGCTCACAGAAATTCTCACTGCCAAGAGTGGCAAAGCTCTCAACAAAGTAAAACACTGCATACTGTATCACGAGCTGAACAGATAGGTGAATGTGCCCCAGGCAAGCCTGCTGAACTGCATTTGAGATAACAGCAGGAAGACCCACACCTCAGTTAAGCATGATCAAACAAACCTCTCCTACGGCTCTGCCCTGATAAAACCATGTTTTTGCTTTGTATCACCGAAGATGATACACTATTTCCCCTATGGGGATGGGGAAAGAGAACAGAAACACTCCATGGATGTACGCAAGGGTGAAATTTGACACAGTACATCTACAGGTATGGTGGAGACTATCTGCACATAGGTCTTCCTGAGGAGATATTTAGGTTAAGATGACTTACCTAGCTGAAAAACACTAAGAGTAATCTCAGACTCTCAGAGTGTGAATAAGCAGACCCAAGAAAGCAAATCTACTCAAAACTTCTTGTTTCCAAATTCCTGTAATTCTTCATCACTTTCATGGTAAAGTTTCTGGTATAAAAAATGCCTCTGCCTGTGGGTTCCTGGCTGCTTTTCTAAATTATACCTCAAAAGGTCTTGTTTAGTCCAAGATACTGATGGAAAACTAGAAAATATATTTAAAAGCCTGACTGAGGCTCATTTTCTCAGACATCAAACTGGGATCTAGAGCCCTGGGCCTATGTTAAGGATAATTTCAGACATGAGATTTAACAGACTCATCACCAGAAAGAGCAAGTATGCTCTATTACAGATTTTGCTCTATTACATTCAGAGCTAGGAAGGACTGTGTAAGAAGTAACAACAGTTTGAACATAAAGTACACAGTCAGGGTTTTTAGGAGCAAAAAACGTACTCCAAGGTACTGTGTTTATCAGTATAGCAAACAGATACTATTTGGCCAAGAAGGCAGTCATTTATATCAATTTCACCACCAGTTATATGCACCTCATATCAGAGCTGTCTACCACTGTTAAATTACCGTCATTCTCTTTCAAAAATTCCTAAAAGGAAAAATAAGCTTTCAGAATATTAGACAATGTTATTTACTTGAACATTTATTGTTCAAAGATGCTGAGTTTGAATAACCAGAAAACCCAAACCTCTGCTATGCTATCAAGAAATGTTAAGGGGTTCAGAGTAGGAAAGGCTTTGCCACAGAAACACATTTCTACTTGAGAGGAAATGTTTCTAAGGATAAAAGGACAGTTCAATCCGCACAAAGGAACGTTAAAAAAAAAAAAAAAAAATCTGACATGCAATTCATTTTATAGCTTACTAAAGAGGAAGCCACCAGATAATAACATCTGCTTACATTCAAACTGGGTCAAATCTGAGTCACTGCTCAGACAATCATGATCACATCCCAGAATAAAACATCTTAAATGTCTATGACAGAGAAAGAGTTTATGGAAGAACTACGTAACATTTTAGACATCAGTAACTATGGCATTGTGTATGACACTAACACCAATCTTGCACCTTTTTAAAAATTCGATTAAACTATTAGTTATTACTTTAGAAGGAAACAATGAAAATTCCAGAAAGTATCCTTTGCTGATTGTCTCCTACCTTACATTACCTTTACTTTTTGTCGTGCAAAATGAGGCAATAATAACCAAAGAGGTTTCTCTGATGAAAAAAGTTGTAATTATTCATGTTTTGAGTGTTACTAAAGTTGCATTATTTTTATAGACAGGTCTTCTGACTCCAATATATTTTCTGTGTGATACAATATTCACCCTGACTGGCTATGAAAGAAAACATAGCTGAAAGCCCAGAAAGAACAGTACAAATGCAAGACATATAATCATTTTAATATTGATTTCAACTCAGTTTACACCACTTAGTGTTAATGTTTCTACTGCATTTCATAGTTAGCACTAGATTGTTTAAATACAAGAAAGGTTAGTCCTTAAGGAAGGTAGAGGAAAAAAACCTACTCCCACAAAATTAAAATACCCATCTCTTTTCTTTAAAACTATTGTGTTTAAGTATCAGTAAGGAACTTAATAAGTCACTTAATATGACTAATTATATACCTGAAAGAACAAGCTTGCATTCTAGGCTTCAATGTTTTAGTTTCACCTGGGGGATGAGATCTCTCCCTCATTTGTATGCACTTATTTAAATGAAGAACTTAAATGAAGAAATAATTTTCTAAGATTTTTATTGTTGATTTGACTGGAAGCTTACATTAAACAATTAACAAAATCACACAGAAGAAAATGAAGTCACACTGCTGAATTTCTACTGTCCCTCCTAACCACTCCCACCCCCACCCCCCACCCTCACCCCTTTCTTTTTCCCCTCAAGATTTCCATTTATTGCCATATTTCACTCATACATTATTTGCAGGGCAGGGGTGGGGATGGTGTTGGGGTGCATGTGCCCTTTACACTTGATCACATTTTTCCTTCTGAGAGAAGAAATGCCCTCATACACTTCAGCATGCTCCACATCGACTGTCCTCTTTACTTATTCTGAACTACTTTCTCTCTCCCTATTTAAAAATCCATTGAAACAACAGTTTTTCCCCAACAGTAATATAAAGCAGTTCCCAGCTACTGCCCTTATTCAAGAGAAAAAATGAACAAACAGCAGTGTATTATTTCTAACTCAAAAAAATGAGATATTATTCCTGTACTGTTGTCAATTAAAATAATAAAGGCAACGGTATTTTATTAAACTAATAACTTGCTTAGTATTGTAATTTCACATATATTCTGAGGTCAAACTTTGAGTACTTCTTTATTTTACATCTTTAAGCAAATATAGTGGTTTAAGCCCTGTTGGGACCGGAGACCACATTGCTGTTGTCCCGCCCTCAGCCGGTCAGAGTTGGAAGTTAAGCACAAACTCCAGGGTTGAAATAAGGAAAGATTTAACACAACAGTGTAATAAACAATCTGGACAACAACAATAGCAATAATAACAATAATAAACAGCAATAACAGTAAACAAGACAAAAGATATACAGAGAAATACCGCAGTGAATGCAGCCAGCCCACCGCACATGCTTCCCACGACCAAAGCCACAAAGGAAAGTTTCCCCTGCTGCCACACTGGACCTGACCTCAGCATGGTATGAATAACCCAGTTGGAGATCCCTTCCCCCTGCTGGGGAAACTTAACCCTATCCTAGCTGAACCAGGACAGCAAACAAAACATTTTGTCAAAACATTTTCTCTCTCCATTTTTAAGAGGGGCGCAGACACAGGTGAGAAAGTAAAGCAATAAATTTAGGTTGATAATTTAAGACAATTCCCTATGGCATATCCTGCCTTTAACCTCAGTGTACCTGGCTCATTCCCACATGATAATATATACCATATGAAATTAACATTAATTCCACCTATTATCCTATAAATGATAAAAAAGTTATCCTGCAAACAATAACATGTCTGTGTCAAGCTCAAATGCTTCAAGCAAAAAATTTAGGCAGAAGGGCAGAAGTTGGCATTCATGATGCAATTCATTCACTCTACATTTGGTTCATTCCTAGCACTACATTACAGGTACATGAAAGCTGCCCCTTTTCTTGTGTTTTCTGTCCTCATTTGATTAAACATGTCTCTTGCTATTACAGAAAAATGGTTTGCATTCTGTCCAAGAGAAGTAACATCAATCCCTAACCCCTGATGTTTTCTCTTCAAAGTATACTTTTTCTTTATATTACACTTCACCTTGTCATTTTGCAAACATGTAAATCAAGTGACAATTGATTGTGTTAATTAAGTGACAACACATAATTAACAATTAAACTCCTGGCTGCTTTTGAAGTACATGGTTTCTCTGACTTTCTTCAGATGACAGAAAAAAATTTCTTTTACCTATTCATAAAAAAAATTCAACTTCTCAACCAATTAAACACAGGACAGTGTTTTTAGAATAGCACTACATTTAAACCAAGACATGGCTCTACTTTTAAAGTTTCAATATATTTTAAACACATAATATGTAAACAGGTGGGTAATATCACATTTTTAGACTATACTCTGTTGGAGGATCAGTACTGGTCCTTTTCCTACTCTGCTTCAAGATGCTTTTTTGCATTAGTCTATTTAAAAAAATAACAAAATCTTTTATGTATGTTATTATTATTAGTTTGTAATTAATATACCTTCAATAATCACTGTATACTATTTTGATGGATAATAAGTTTTAACTAACAGCTTATACATTTAGCAATAAGTATGGTTATGTAATTATCAGCAGGAAAAAGACAAGCATCTGATGACATAGAGAGCTAAGTACTAATTTGTGAAGCAGATTTTAACTGTATATGCATGGTTATCTTTTCTAACACAAAAAAATAGCTACATCAAAACAGAAATTACAACTGAAAATTGACTGGTTTATATATTCTGACTTTGAAGCTCACTTGATAATCAAGAGGACATTTGTTACTCAGATATTACTTTCTGCCTCAAATGACCCATTTCCAATCTTACTTCTCCCAACATATTCCAAGGCTTCAGCAAGCCTATCTGCCATGTATCTACAACCAGGTTTACACCAACTTCTACGGCATTAATAGCTACACAGATTGGAATGAAAATCAAAATGAGATATACGTTATTTAAAATGTCACTTCAGTTAAAACCAATGAAAATTCTCACATTGACATCCCCTAATTTCATTTTAAATGCTTTATCATAACCCTCTTCTTGAAATTTTTCCTCTTCCAATTTGTCTCTGAAGCAGGTTTAGGTAGTATTTTTATTTTTAAAATTGCAACAAGTTGTATAACAAATAGACAAAATTGAAGTTTAAGTCTCACATACGCAAAGAGCAGAAGTCACAGCAATATACATTTTAATATGCTTACAAAATGTTGCATTTTTGCATCAGTTAGAAGTTTTATAAATCAAAGATCATGATAACCTGGAGATTTTTTTTATCTCCAGGGATATTTTAATACTTTAGCAGGGTTCTTCCCATTACTTTTCAAATATGTCATGAAAATTCCACATTTTTCATAGGAAAAGCCTTCCTGTCCTAATTTTATCCCATTATCATATTTATTATTCCATTAGTTTTATGTGTATATGTATATACACATATTATGTCTATGTCTATATCTATATGCAATTGTAATCTCTTACACACTTCCTGTATATTGTTTAGCTTAACTAAAGTTTAATAGGTCCTTGGATGCAATCCTGCAGCATAGAATAGAAAGTTCATACATTCTAAAGTTTTCTCAAAAATGCTATTATGAGCTAATGTTTCAGGTGATAAGATCACAAGTAATAGGTAATTAAAAGGCAATCCCTCACATTAGGGAAACTGAACAAAAGCCAGCTAGAAGTAAAAGATACTCAACAGCCATTTTCAGTGGAGACTGAAGCAAGATGTATAACACCTAGTTACTTAAATAGTACAGGTACTTGGGGAAGTAGCAGTAGTAATAATATGTTATTGTGGTTTGAACTTGGCCGGCAGTCAATCAACATGCAGCCGGTCACTTACTTTCCGCCCCACTCCCCCACCCCAGATGAAATAGGGGAGGGACAGAGAAAAGGGGGAATTTGGAGGTTCAATAAAAAAAAAAGTTTAGTGATAGTAACAAAACAACACTAACAATAGGAAGTTCAAACAGGTAATACACAATGCAGTTGCTTACCAGCCAGTAACTGGTCATAAGCTCATTTATGTGTTGCATGTCTTCCCTGATGGCCTGAGGAGTCATGGGCCCAGCGAGCCAGAAATTGTTCACTCTTACATTGCCAGTCCAGATCTACTTGAGACACCTTGATCTTGGCAGCCTGATTTGCCTGTTGGTTGTTCTGATGCTATTCAGTGTCCTGGCTCTTGGGTACATGAGTGTTTACCTGGCGTACTTTCACAACCAGATTCTCTACTCGAGCAGCAATATTTTGCCATAATTCAGCAGCCCAGATGGGTTTGCCTCTGTGCTGCCAGTTGCTCCGTTTCCACTGCTGTAACCACCCCCACAGCGCATTTGCCACCATCCATGAGTCAGTACAGAGGTAGAGCACCGGCCACTTTTCTCGCTCAGCGATATCCAAGGCCAGCTGGATGGCTTCCATCTCTGCAAACTGACTCGATTCACCTTCTCCTTCAGCAGCTTCAGCGACCCATCACGTGGGGCATACAGCTACTTTCCACCTTCGAGGTTTCCCCACAAGGCAACAGGACCCGTCGCTACACAGGGCATATCGCTTCTCATTATCCAGTAGTTTATTATATGGTGGGGCCTCTTCAGCATGTGCTACCTCTTCCCCTGGCACCATTACAATATCTTTGCCTTCTGGCCAATCTGTGATCACTTCCAGTATTCCAGATAGCTAGAGCTCCCTATTTGAGCCTGTTGTGTGATTAATGTGATCCATTTGCTCCACATGGCATCAGTTTCATGGTGTGTAGAGGGGGCACTCCCTCTGAACCTCCAGCCCAGCACTGGGAGTCGGGGAGCCAGGAGGAGCTGTGCTTCAGTCCCGATCACCTCTGAAGCAGCTCGAACCCCTTCATATGCTTCCAGTATCTCCTTTTCAGTTGGAGTATAGTGGTCCTTAGATCCTCTGTATCCCTGACTCCAAAATCCCAGCGGAAATGTCACAGTACACAGCTCCTTTATATACTAATCATAATATCACATGATATGGAATAGTCCAGTGACCAATCTGGGCCCGGTCCTCCTGCTGTGCTCCCTCTTAGCCCAGGAAAAGTTAACTCTATTCTGGCCAGAATCAGGACCTGTGTTTATTTACTGCTGCTTTTATATCAAATGTGGGGAATGTAATTATTGCAATAATGGGTAAGACATGCATGATCATCTGACCTACTACAGAATATCATAACAAACTGTATTTCTAGTAAATCAGACTCAGTGAAAAAGAGTACTCTTAAAGTAAAGCACCAGTGTGGGAGCTGCAAAGAACATACAAATGCTCTTCTCTTCCTAAAGTGCAACAAGTTGTTCTGACACACTATTACGCCACAATATTATCATGCCCACTTATCAGTCAGTACTGTGTTTTTATAACATTATTTTAATGCCATACTTGTCCATGTAGATGGAAATGCATGATGTCTCAGAAGAAAAAAACTTAAGCTGTAAAAATAACAGAATGTAGTACAAGACTACATTATTGATACTACTTACTGATGATGAGCCCAACATCGATTTTGGAGACCTTATGATTCCAGCTATGGAATGACGTATAGTGTCAAATCTTGAGACTTTATCCTTCTTGTCCTAGGAGAAAAAGCAGTATCTCCAGTGAAAACAAGGATCAGTGTGACAATTGAATTATTGGAGAATGTGGAATGTAGACTCCTGAATTTTATCTAAAGAAAAGACAGAGGCTGAGCCTCTACTGACAGAAACAAGTAAGTGTCAAGACCAGTGGGATTAAGCTAATACATATCAATTCAGCAACTGACAAATTCTATAATTCCTTAAATATTTTGTGCAATTATTTTAAGAATCACTACTGTTAATTATGACGAGAACCAAAATTTTTTACACCGTAAAACCAAATGACATAATTCTCAGTTCTATTACAATGCCTATTATTTTAAAAAGACATTGATTTGAAAACATATAATAAAAAAAATTCCACATAATAAAACGAAAATATGTACATACATTATCCTTACTTAATATATGGAGGGTTTTTTTCTTTTTATTAACATGTTCTTCTCTAACAATACATTATTGTAAATATTAGTACCAATCAGTTCAAGTTATAGGATCCATTTGTATTCTGTCACTACTGTAAACCATTGGTGAAGCCACCATTTGGATTTTAAATTCTGTAAGAAGATGGCTCCAACTGGAACACTGAAACAGACTTTACACACCTCTAGTTCAGCATAAATCAATGTGAATTCCAAGGTGCTCATAACTTCACTTAGACCAAAGACTCCGTATTTCTTAAATCTCTGATAAATCTCTTACAATTAGCTCTCAAAATTGTTATCACAGAATCTTTCAAAATTACAAATCTTTTAAACATTTTAAGTACTTTTTTTGTCATTGCCCAGCTGCATATCCCCCTAGAAGGACCATTAGATCCTGCAGGAAAACAGTTTTCTTTGGGAATAGTATATTCATCAGTGTGGAGATTTTTTTTTTAATGTATATTAGGTATAAATTTTTCCCTAAATATTACAAGAATACAACCCAGAACAGCCCATCTACTTTACATACACACACACACACACACACACACACACACACGTGTATGTATGGTCTTATTAGTTAAGCCAGAGTGTTATTTTAAGTCTGCTTTCAAAAATAACATGAAATACACACCAGAGCTGTCTTTCAAGTGATCTCCACCCTAGCCACATTAAATTTTGAATCTCTCAGACAAGGCCCTCACAATTTAGAAAAGAATTTAGTAGATGAAAGGATGATCTCAGGATATTAGGTTATTTAAAATTTCTGAAGGAAGCTAACATGGACCAGAGACTCTGTGTCCTCAGAAGTTCAGTATAATTCCACACAATACTCATTCCAACAAGTATCAGCCATTTGACCAACCAGCTCAACCATGCTGGTGATATAGTCACTGTATTCACTTCAGACAAACTTGCAAGACATGTCACTATTTGACTAAAGTCTTGAGAAGGACACTGGAAAGAAATTAGGAGTTCTGCATCAGGGTTGCTGTAGGGAGCATTATGGAGTAGTATGCTTGGCAGCTACTAAAATGTATTAGCTGATTCAGGTTAATTTTGGTTTAAATTACTTACTTTACAGATATTAGCATGATTTGTCACTTCCTTAATTTTATACCACACCAATTTCATGAAAAAGAAAACTAATCTGTGGGCCATAACATTTTATGGAATGACTGAATTACTGCAGGATAAATTGTATTTTACCATTAAGAAGCTAGATAAGTATGAAAATATATGCTGACATTAGATAACATTTTTAATCTATTTCTCTGACTGTGTTTAAAAGTACCTGTGGCATGAGAACACATCATACAAAGAATTATGAAAAATGTATTGACTGGTATTTCTCTTTTAGGACTGGCCATATTTCTAATCCCTCTCCAGAGTGAATCAAAATGAATCTCCACCAGACTTGGGACTGGCCCTTAGAACACGTCATGAATTTTCTACCCATTGGACAAGTATGCCTAGCAAAACTGCTGAAAATCCAACTACTTACCCCAGAATGATGCAAGACTGATGAACTCCTATATGGAATACAAACAGCTGTTTTATGAGCGGGACATTTTGTCATCCTCTTTGGTAAACAATATAAAGCACTACTGCTTCTACTTTAACATAATATGGAAAGGATTTACAAAGACAAATAACTCTTTTATTGAGAAACTGACTGACAACAACTACATCAGATTAAAGTGCTCTGTCTTAACTCATTTTGGACACAGCAGTGTCCAACAAAACAAGGAATGCTGAAACCCTGTTCCTAGTTATATATACCTTAACCAACCTTTGGTTCCAGTTCTCTTTTCCCTTCTTAAGAGTCAAGAAATTACCTCAGCTCTTTTCAAGACCTGTCACAGCAGAAGACAACTACTCTGGCACTCTTTAATTTTACTTTACATTTTTCTCTTCTGACAAGATGCAGAGAATAAAAAATAAGTTTAAGAACCTGTAGTGGTTTGAGCCCAGAGGGAAACAGAGCACCACGCAGCCGTTCACTCATCCCTTCCCCTCCAGTGCTCATGAGAAAATGAAGCAAAAAGCTCAGAAATCAAGACAGGACAGGGAGGGGTGGCTCACACATTAGAGTCATGGGTAAAAGATAAACTCATTAGGGGAAGAAAAAGAACAAACACTAACAAAAATAACACTTAACAGATAGAGTCAGACAGTGAGAAGCATTATCACATCTTAAAAACACCTTCCTCTTCTCACCCTTCCCTTCTTCCATGGCTGTTTTGTTTCCGATCTCTCTGCCTCCTCCCTGCAGTGCCACAGGGGCAGGGAACGGGGGTTTTCAGTCGGCATACTGGTCCTTCCTCCAAGGAGGTGGGGAGCACTCTCTGCATTCTTCTCCTGCTCCATGTCATTCCCTTCTCACAGGTGACAGTTATCCACAAAGTTTCTCTGACATGAGTCCCTCTCACATGCAGCAGTGTTTCCCTAGCTGTTCTGATGTGGGTCACCCTGCGTGTTGCAGCCCTCCAAATGCTGAACTACAACAGCAGGGGCAATTCCCACAGAATCACAGACTTCTTCAGGTGCAGCCACCTGCTCCAGTGTTGGGTTCTCCACAGGTGAATCTCTGCTCCAGTGACCTCCATGGTGGAAAGTGGGCGGCCCTGCAATCTTACCATGGGATACAGGGGAGCTCTCTGCTCCAGCACACCTCCTCCACTTCCTCCTCCTTCCTTCCATTAACCTCAGTGTTTGCATAGGCGTTCTTCTTATAACTCTTCCTCACAAGTCCCAATCCCCTCTCAGGTTGCCCTTCTTAAATATGTTATCACAGAGGTGTGGCCAACATCATTAATTATCTTGGCCTTGGCCAGAGGTGGGTCCAATTTGGAGCCAGGGGGTGCTTCAAGAATTTTGTCACAGGGGGCCACCGCTGTAGCCCCCTCACCTGCTATCAAAAACATAAACCCAGCCTAGAACCCAAAAGAGCAACAGGATTCAGGCCAGTTGAAAAACACAAGTGCAGCACTCCCTATTTTGCTTAAGCATTTTATCAGGTGCATCTTATATATGATAGACAGAAAGCCAGGCTTCTGTCTTTACTATGCTTTTACTATGTGTTTACTTTGAGGGACCTTGTGCAACATGAGGTCCTGTCCATTTTAATGGATTTTCCAGTAGAATTTATCTTGTATGGTCATGCATTACAACTGTTAGGGTCTTGTGGACAAAAATCTCCCTTTTGCCAGACATACAGTTCTGTCACAGGAAAAAATCACCACAGATCTAGAGTGCATGAAAAATAATACAATACACTCAGAAGTGTGACACTATCAAAATGACAGGTCATACGAATCATATTTGTAGTAGTATTTTGAATGAACATGAGCAAGGCTAAGCAACAGAACAAAAGATTTTTCTTAAACTGAATGGCATAATGTAAAAGCACAAAAGAGCTTTTTAGCTGTATAAATCCAGAAAAATGGCTGTATCTTAGATATTATTAAAAAAGAAAATTAATCTATACTCTTTATTAGAAAAGCAAGGAAAAGCAAGAGAGATCCAAGATAAAACAGAACTAGTGCTTCTGAGGGACAGGCAAATAGTATTACTATCTTTACTGATCAAAAGGCGGAAGAATAGCAATAAGAGGGACAATGGACAATGCAGCATATATGGAATACTGTTAAAAACACCAGCCAGACATTAACATATAGGTGATATAAATATATCAACAATATTATTCCATTCAAAGAAAGACTGTCTGATGAGTCAGATATAAACCATCAGCATGGATACGTAAGTTGAATTTGGGCTTGGAAATTAGAGAAGCTCATAGGAAATTTAGAATAAATATGCTGAGGACTCTCCAACTGAAAGAGATAACAGCATCAGAAGAAAAGGAGATTTCAATTAGAAGAATATAATCAGTGATATCTAAAACATACCACCATGATAGTACCTTTTCTGAGATCTGGCTAGGGAACTGGCATTCACAGATTTTTATGAAAACTGTTTTAGTACAGTACAAGAGCTCAAAGGTGAAACCAGAAGGGACAAATTCCTGGTAGCTACTGCAAATGATACATTCAATAAACTTAAGAGATAAAAAAGACATACCAGACAGGATCTGCCAGAGCAATTAAGATGTTCTTTTCATTAAATGAATGTTAGCTTCATTCCTGGTTTGAAGACATGATTTTCCTGATGAAAAAGATGCCAGAACAACATTCACCTTAAGGCTTCAAATTCAGATAATGGGGAGAACAAGGGAAATATTTGCTTTTAGAAGGCTGTATGTCTGGCATGAGACTGGAATTTTGTGATTTGTAAGCAAGAATTCTTTAAAGAAGCTTTATAAAGCTTTATAAAGAAAATAATCCTCTGCATTAGTCACTTCAGCAGTGAAGATTATAAGTTATTTACGGGAAGCCTCAAAAACATGTAATAGACTATGACAGTAACATCTACCTGTTGATGAGTGGATATACTAACCACAAAACCTTTGTGAGTCTGTTTTACAGGTATTAGTACATATTAAAGGAGATGTAAATGCTGACATATATTAAAAGCTGAACATACAGTAGAACATGGCTGATGTCCCTGAAG